CAGCCCCCACCCACAGGTCTGTACCCCCATTTCATGGTCCCTCCAGTGCCAGTGAGGCCCCACCACCATGATGGGTGTCCCCGGTGTTCCCAGTGTCCCCCTACACCCACTCACCTTCCACATGAAGAGGCTGAGGAGGGTGAGGAGCAGGAGCCCGGCCAGGACCCCCAGCACCACCCCCCACACCGGCACGGCCCCCTTGCCCCCGGGGCTGGCACGAACCACCCGTGTGACAGCCTGCGGAGGGACGGCTGGGTGACACTGCTGCCACCACAACCCGTCCCCATTTCCCAGTGTCCCCAACAGCTCTACCGTGGCGTTGCCGGCGGGCAGGAAGCGGGGCTGGACCCGGTAGGGCATGGCCGAGGTGCTGAACCACGCCTGGGACTGGATGAGGAACTGCGACAGGAGGTGCTCCCGCTGGGGACACACGTGGGGACAGAGGTGGGGACACACGGGGACACATTGGGGACACGGCATCAGGGGTGCTGGCAGCCAGTGGGATACCCATGACGCCTCTCATGTCATCCCCAGTGCTGCTCTCTGCAGGAGGGGACATGACGGTGCCACCCTGTGCCCTCGCTGTCCCCAGGAGGGGACAGTACCTGCTGCAGGGTGTCCATCCAGAGCAGGGCGTGGACACTGACCAGTGCCCGCTGGTCCTTGCCCAGGCTGGGCACGTGGCAGGTGATGTCCACGCACGTGGCATTGTCACAGTCCTGAGGGACACGGCAGGTGTTGGGGACCCCCACCCCGGGGGACACCCCCAGCCCTGCACCCATTGTGGGCTGCGGGTCCCCGGGGTCATCATGGGGCGGGGTCCTCCACCCAGCTCCACATCCGTAATGGGGTGCAGGTCCCTGGGTGCACCCCCTCACGGCAGGGATGGGGTCCCCCACCCTGGAGGCACCTCCAGCCCCCTCCCCATAATGGGTGCAGGTCCCCAAGGTCACCCACTCAGCACAGACAGGGTCCCCCACCCTGGCACCCCTCAGGCCCACCCATCACGGGGTACAGTTCCCCGGGGTCCCCCTCTCACCACGGGGACAGGCTCCCCCAGCCCCAGCCCCGGGGGCTCCTCCGCCTCCCGGCGCTCCCGCTGGCGGGTGCCGTTCCCGGGCGCTGCTCCCGTGGGACGGGCGATCTCCAGCTGGAAGGAGACAAAGGGGTCACACCCACCCCCTTAACACCCACCAGCGCCCGCGGGTGGGCACTGGCCCCTCAGCCCCTACCTGGGCGGGGTTGAGGTCGGGGTGGTGGGTGCAGTTCATGCCCCCCTCGGTGCCCAGCTCCAGCAGGTAGAGAAGGACGTGGCCGCCCAGCTGGTGGGGGACAGCGAGGCGCAGGGAGACCCCGCTGACGGTGCTGGGACCCTTGTTGTGGAGCTGCGGGAGGACAGGGGGGTGACACCAGGGAGGGGACAGAGGGGACAGCCCCCCGGGCAGCCGGAGGGGGCAGTGCCCTACCTCATAAACGTGCTCCACCTTGATGCCGTGGTCCTCGAGCCGCCGGCTGCCCTCCACCCCCTGCCAGCTCGTGGGCAGCACCGTCGTGTCTGGCAGGGAGTTGCTGGCGGGAGAGGGGCGTCAGTGTCCCCCTTTGTGTCTCCCCCCGCGTGTCCCTGTGCCCCCCAGACCCTCACCCTCGCAGCTCCATCTCTGCCTGAGCCTCCACGGGCACTGTCACTGTCACCGACGCGTTCGTGGAGCTGGGGCTGTTCTTGCTGCGGGGGGAGGGACAGACAGCGAGTTTGGGGACACGCTGAGGACACCGATCCCGAGTGCCAGTGTCCCGACAGCGGGAGGGGACAGGGGGACGGCAGTGTCACCTCCGCAGCTGGAGCTGGAAGGTGATGGCATCCCCCATGTCCTCCAGCCCGGACACGCTCAGCTCCATGTCCACGGTGATCTGGGGGGTAGGAGGGAGGTGGGTGACGACCCCAATGCCAGGGTGGGCGATGGGCACAGCAGAGAGACCTCCCACCCCCTTACCTGGGCCCCCGCTTTCATGGGGTTGCCCAGCTCGCAGAGCACCACGTGGGTCCCGTTCTCCTTCTTGGGGTTGCAGCTCAGCTTCTCCTGCCCCTGTGGGTGGGGGACACAGGGAGGGGACACGTCATGGACCCCTCTGTGCACCCTCCACCCCAGGGACCTGCATGGGCCGAGGGCAGGGCGTGAGACCCCCACCCTGGACACCCCTCACCACTGGGCAATGCCATGGAGGGTGGCGGCCACCAAGGGCAGAACATGAGCCCCCCACCCCAGACACTGCCAAGGGCAAGGTGTGAGCCCCCCACTCTGGGTCCTCTCTGACACCCCCCCCTCTGGGCACCCCAGTGGAGGGTGATGGCCACGAAGTGCAGGACATGAGCCCCCTATCCCCAGATCCCTGGGCACCCATGAACACTGGGCACCCACATGGAGGATTATGACAAACAAGGACAGTGTGAGCCCCCAGATCTGGGTCACCCCTCCATGCCGGGCACCCCCTGACACCCATCACCACTTGGCACCCCCGTGGAAGGTGATGGCCACTAAGGGCAAGGTGTGAGACCCCCTCCCCGACACCATCAAGGACACGGCGTGAGCCCCTCACCCTGCACACCCCCCAGCACCCATCACCACTGGGCACCCCCATAGAGTGTGACACCCATCAAGGGCAGGGCATGATCTCCCCACCCTGCACCCCACCCAAAACCCTCCGGTCACCCATGGAGAGTGTTGGCCACCAAGGACATGGTTTGAGATCCCCACCCTGGACATCCCCAACACCCTTCACCACTGGGCACCCCTGTGGAGGGTGACAGCCGTCAAGGGTGTGGTGTGAACCCTCCACCTCTCACACCACCATGGGCTCAGTGAGCCCCCCACCCCGGGCACCACTGTCCCCCCCCGTGGGCACCCACCGGGATGGTGCTCCGGGCTGCCTGGTAGTGGGTGCCAGGGGGCAGCTGCACCCTCAGCTCGGCCTCGAAGGCGCCTTCGCCCGCGTTGGAGGCGTGGGCACGCAGGCGCAGCGCGGCCTCCGCCCCGATCAGCAGGCGCTGGCTGGGGCTGGGGGACACGGGACACAGGGACAGGGCTCAGCACCCCACGGGGACACCGGCTACCCCCCTCGCCCCCCTGTCCCAGGTGCTCACGTGTCAGCAGCCAGGTGGAGGTCGGGGATGCAGAGATTGTCCTCGCCACAGTCCTCCAGGATGATGTGGGTCTGGGAGGGGGACAGGGAGGGGACAGGGGGGCCCCCATCCAAGGTGCAGTGTGGGAGGGGGAGTCATTGGGGACAGCAGGGGATATGAGGGGGGAGTTCCTGGGGAGGGATTGGGCTGGTGGAGGAGGCAGAGGGGACATCCCAGGGGGGAAGATCTGGGACAGTGCAGGGTAGAGAGGGGTCATTCCCAGGAGTGATTGAGGATGGTGGAGGGGAGAAAGGTGATTCCCCTGGGGAGTAAGAGCAGAGGGGACATCCAGGGGACTGATTCAGGATTGGGGAGGATACTGTGGGACACCCCAAGGATGGAGCAGGGACAGCAGGGGGACATGCTAGGGAGAGTTTGGGGATGGCAAAGGGAACAGAGGGGACATCCTCGGGGATATGACTGGGGGGAATGGGGTCATATCCTCGGGGATATGACTGGGGGAATGGGGTACAGAGGTGACATCTCAGGAGGGACTGGGGACAGCAGGGTGAGCACAGAGGGCTGGGCAGGAGGGACAGTGGCAGGGCACAGTGGGGTGGCACATTCCAGGGGGGACAGGGGACAATGCGAGGGGTAGGAGGCACATCCCAACAGGAACTGGGGACAGTGAGGGGGAGGGTCATGGTCCCAGGGAGAGGCTGGGGACACTGGGACAGGCTAGAGACTCCGGGGCTGAGCACACCCAGGCTGGGGATACCCACGTGTGCCTGGCCCACCCCATGTCACCACAGCCATGTCCCCCCACAGCTGCATCCCCCCTACCTGTGCCTGCACCAGGGTGTTCCCATAGAGCACCAGCCCCGGGGCCTCCCGGGGCAGTGCCAGGGCCACGCTCAGGGCCACCGGGCTCAGCTTGTCCTTGAACTCGGCTTCGTCCTGGGGACACCATGGGCAGAGCACTCTGGAGGGCACCGCGAGCCCACCTCACCCCAGGACCCCCACCCACCGCCGTCCCCATCCCTGTCACCCACCCATGGGTTTGGGGGAAGGGGAGAGATCCCTGCCCCTGTCCTTGTCCCCATTCCTGTCACTGTCCCCGTCCCTGTCATCCACCAATGGGTTTGGGGGAAGGGGAGGGATCCCTGTCCCTGTCATTGCCCCCATTCGTGTCCCTGTCACCCAGTGATGGGTTTGGGGGAAGGGGAGGGATCCCTGTCCTTGTCATTGTCCCCATTCCTGTCCCCATCCCCATC